ATCTGAGAACTGCTTGTTGGAGGTGTGGGGGAACCCCTCCACACACGTTGAAACTGGGAGCAGAAACCCCTTTGCAACACCTTTGATAAAATCTGTTATTTCCTACCTTGGAAGTATATGCAAATAGCCAATAAATATGAAAAGGTGCCCAACATTACTAGTTATCAGGGAAATGCAAGTTAAAATCACAATGAGATATCACTACACATCCACTGGAATGATTAATTTTTTAAAACTGGTATTACTAAGCATTGGAGAGGCTGTGGAGCGACCGGACTATCATATATTACTGATGGGAAATATAAATTGGTATAAGCATGTTGGAAAATTGACTACTGAAGTAAACGTATTTATTTGCTTTCACCCAGAAATTCTGTAATAACGATTGGGTAGGGGCATAAGAGGGATGCTGGTAATGTCCTGGGTAGTAACTCCAGAGGTGGGTTAACTTTGTAATAATGCATTGCATACATTTATAATTTATGCATTGTTTTGTATTTATGTTATATCCAATAAAAATGTAACTTTTATTACCAAAAAACAATAGTAGCCTATATGCAAGGTTTAGATATTTGATCTCCTCAGTTGTCAGCAGGGAGAGCTTTCTTAAAGGTAAGGGCGAAATAGACGCCCTTAATTCTCTAAACCTCAGGGGGACGAAGATTGTGAGTGTGTGTGCAGGACCTCTTTCTTCCTTCTTGACCTAATTTGGTTTCCTAGAAAGTTGGATGATTTGCTCACAATTTGTGCTCTGCTGCAAGGAGTACATTGACTGCTTAGATATACTTTCACAGTTTTAAGATCTTTTGACTCCTTTTACCCATAGTGGAATTAACCTGAGGACCTGGCCACAGAATTAAGTGAAATGTGGCAGGTCTCTCTATAATAATCAAGTCTCTTTTGGTAGCAAGTGGCAAAAACTCAATTCAAACTTTGGGTTCCTAACGTTTGGAAATTTATTGGTTTATGGAACTGTGAAGATGTAGTTCACAGATGTACTTTTAGCTTTAAGCCTTAACTGGCTACAAATAATCTTATCAAGACACTGTCTCTGAGCTCTGCCTTCCTCTGTATTAGCTTTGGTCTCGGCTAGTCATTTCCCTCAAAGTGCCAACAAATTAGCTACAGGTGGCTCTGGGATTATACCATCCACGTAGTAGTGATCCCAAGGGGAAAAGCACGTCTCTTTCATGATAGTTCCAGCAAAAGTTCCAGGAAGGGCTGAACGGTCAGGCTTGGGTCACCCGCACATTTCCTGAATCAATCACCGTGGCTAGGAAGTTCTGATACTATGACTAGACAGGCGTGGGTCATATGGAAACCCTGAGGTTGCGATGGGGAGGGGTGATAGAGTGGATCACCCACAAGAAAGAAACTTTAACAACAAAAAAAGGGAGGGTTAGGGAAAGTCTGGAGGGCAGGCATAGTAAAACCACCACAATCTACTACCTTTCCTGAGAGAGATAGCTTGTGGGCACTCATCCCATAGTCCTGTATCCTGCAGTGGTGATTTCACTGGCCCATAGCTACCTAAACCAAAAGCAGTAAGGGAGAGTGTTTCAACTTGGGAATGTGGTAAAAGAATCCCCAGTCCTCTGTTAGGTTCCGTAAGTATATGACCTTGTTCTGTTAAAGCATTTGGATGTGGTTTTAAAATATGCCCAACAAAATGCCATCCATTGATGTCTCCAGCTAATAAAGAAAATGTTCATGAATTGGTAAGGGGTCAAACTCTTAGTGATTGTGCCATTAGAACCACAGTAGATTCTTTTCAAGAAATTCTCACATCTTATCCTCACCAGGAGAAGCAGCTCTTTGCTACTCAGAGATTAACTTGCCTTTGATGATCCTGATTCCTGTTCTAGTTTTGTGTTGGAATTCTGTTAATTATTTACATTTTTTTAAATTGTGGCATCATTCATATCTCCCTTTACCTTGCCCCTTACATGTTTATTAGCTCAGAGTTAAAAATGGTCATTCAGGTCAGATCAAAAAGATAATTGGGTGTACTCTGTGGCGAACTCTGAGCTCATTTAAACATGGCCACACCGTTCTAGATACTGACACGGAACAGTTGGTTTGCTAGGCACAGGCGTGCCTCAGTTATGGAGCTGATTTACAGTCTTGTATATGTTGGAAGAAGCTTACTCACCTGCAGTCTCCCTTTAATTACAGGATCTCCGGGTGGACTGTCTCATTTTGCCAAAAGGCAAGGACCAAGTAGAGGTGAAGAAGAGTTTTATGGTCATGTCAACTTCCTTCCTTCACCAAGAATCTCTTTAATTAAGCCTCAAATTACAGGCTGTTGAGAAAGCCACAATAGTGGATAGTGCCAAGACACCGAGACTAGAGTATTTGGGAGTGTACCATTCATTCAATAAACGTTTATTGAGAACTTGCTATTGGCCAGGCTCTATGCTAGGTACTGATATTACAGTGAACATGAAAGACAAAGTCCCTGACTTTAGAAGGCATTCCAGTGGGGAAGACAGACATAAACAAATACAAGTCATGTGTCCCTTACCAACAGGGATAGAGAAATGCATCATCAGGCGATTTTATCATTGTGCGAACATCTTAAGAGTGTACTTAGACAAACCCAGACGGTATAGCTACATGCCTAGGCTATCGGGTACTAATCTTACGGGATCAGTAGGGAGCGAGTAGCAGTGCCTGCTACTTTTAGACATGGTGGTCAGTGAAAGCTTCTTCAGGGAGGTAACATTTAAGCAGAGACTGAACGAAGTGAGAAAATTAGCTTAGCACTCCCAGCAAAGGAAACAGCAGAGTACAAAAGCCCCAAGGCGGGAGCGCGCTTAGTGCAAGGAAACCACTCCCACTAAATGGGAGAATCACACAAAATGAGGCTGGAGGCCAGAACACAGATCTTGTAGAACACGTGTGGGTTTTGGCTTTTATTCTACACATCATAGTAAGCCACTGGGAAGTAACATGGTTAAGGTACCTTGTGAAAGGATCACTGACAGCTAGGAGCAGAATAGGTGTCTCAGTCAGGGTCCAGCCATGAAAAAAACCCACTCTAGTTATTTCAGGCAGAGGGAATTGTAAGAGTAATAGATGTCAAAAGGAAGAATGGAGTGATATCAAAGATTAGAAGCGCTAAAAATACTTTTGGCTGGAACCCATGGGAGCTGTACCAGCTGCTCTGCCATTTAGAGATGCTGTCACTGTCATCCTCTATTTACTAGAGAGGTGCCACCCGACCAAGGAAGGAACTGCTAGAGTCAGGAATCACCCTAACTTCACTTCCACTATAGAAATGGCCAGCACTGCCACACTATGGAATCCAGAACCAGAAAGTTACTTTCTGCCCCCTGCCTTCTGACTTCCTGCTCACGCCTCCTGCCAGAAGAGCTTCATCAGAAGTCAGCTTGCATGAGAACCTAGGAAAAGTAATTTACACCCTCTGGACCCCTGGGGTACAGCGGATAAAAAACGGCACGTGTAGAACTAAGAAATAACTTCTACACAGTCAAGAGGAGAAGCAGGGAAACCAGTGGGATGGTACTGCTATTAACAGCGCAGATGAAAATGATTAAGGCTCGGACTAGATAAGTGGTTGGACTCAATATATCTTTTTGAAGATAAGGCCAAAGAGAACAGTCAAGGATGATTGCAAGGACTTTGGCCTGAGTAAATGGGATACAGGGTGGTACCGTTTATTAAGATAAGGAACACTGGAGGAGGTGTGCACTGTATCTGTTTGGTGGATGAGGATAAATCAAAAGTTCTATCTAAAGTTAACTTTAAGACGCCTATTATAAATTCAAATAGAGATGAACAGGATGTAGTTGAATACACCCGCTGGAGTTCAGAGGAAAGGGTGGGACCACAGATGGAATTTAAAACCTTGTCCGACCACCATCCATTGGATTAGACGAGGGTGTGGCCGTGAAAAGAGAAGACATCCAAAGACTGAGCCTAGGGCGCTTGAGTACTTAAAGAGGTCTGGAAGGGGAGAAAGGTCTGGAGAAAGGCTCAGGGAGGTAAAAAGTAAACTAGAAGAGTGCAGCGTGATGGAAAACAAGCGACGACAGTGTCTCCGGAAGGTGGCAACGATCCGCTGTGCGGCTGCTGCTGAGAGAGTAAGACAAGCAGCGAGGATCACCTCACTGCATGTGCAACTAGGAAGCAGGGAGGAAAACCGGAGCGGAGCGGCCCCCTCTCAGGAGGATTCTGCTGTAAAGGGAAGCAGACAGACGGGTGCAGCTCGCGGGGGACACGTATCGCGGGGAGAACGGTCTGAAAGGACCGGCTCTGACGACGCCAGGCCCCTGCTGGAAACGCCCGCTAGCTGGCCGAGCAGGAGCCGACGTCTCGCCTCCCGGCCTCGGGGACCAGCGCTGGAGGGAACTTCCGACCCCGTCCGTGCGGCCGGAAGTCCAGGCGGGTCCCGGCGGGCCGGGGGCGCGGGGCGCGGGGCGAGGCAGGGGACGTACCGCGGCGCCCCCAGCTCGAGGCAGCCCGGGTGGCGGCGCCAGGCCCCGCCTCCGTCCGTTCGGCCACAGGACAGCCACAAAATGGAGGAGGGAAGCCGAACCCCCTCGAGAGCGTCCCTGCTCGTGGGCCGCTTCCTGCGTCGCGCCCGGTTCCCGTCAGCGCCTCGGCCGCTCGCCCTCCGCGCCCTGGCCCACTTCTCCCGGCGCCTGGTCCCTAGTCCTGCGCCCCGAAGACCCCAGCCCACAGCCCACGCGGCCACAGGCCGCACGCGCAGCGCTGCTGTCGGAGCCCGCGGAGGGCGGGGCCGGCGAGCGCCTGCGGGGGCCACGTGGACCGCGCCGACCAGTAGGCGCGCGGCTCGGGCCGAGCCCAGCCCCGCCGGGCAGAGGTCAGGCAGCGGGGCTCGGACGTCGGGAGAGCGGAGCGAGCGGCGGAGCACCGAGGGCAGAGGTCGCGTCCGTCCTGCCCGCCGCGCCCCTGCCGCCGCGCCGCTCCTCAGGACAAGGCCATGGAGCACCAAGTCCAGCGGGTTCGCGATGCCTTCCTGTCCGGCCGGTCGCGACCGCTGAGGTTCCGGCTGCAGCAGCTGGAGGCCCTGCGCAGGATGTTGCAGGAGCGCGAGAAGGACATCGTGGCGGCCATCGGCGCCGACCTGCGCAAGGTAGGCGCGCGGCGGCGGAGCCTGCACCCCCGCTCCTGGTACCCCGCTGCAGACCGCGCTCCGCCCGAGCTTTTGCTTGTTAAATTTATTTTTGATTACGCAAGCACTATGCGAGTATTATCTGCAGCAGTTCAGATAAAGCAAAAATTTTCCTGGCCCTCCCTATCCTGCTGCCTTGCTTAGAGCCAGTCCCTGTTGGGCGGATCTGCAGACACGTAGACGTGTGTGTGTCTTCTGGCCTCTGTTTTTCTTCTTTTGTGAATTGCCTTTTATATTCTTGCTTGTTTTCCTGTTGCATTTATGATCCTTTTCCTAATTATTTGTAGGGATTCTTTGTGTGTTCCTCATTTCGGTAATTTGTCAGTTTAATGTATTGGAGATACTTTTCTCCTGTCTGTCTTTTAACTTCGTTAACGGTTTCTTTTGTAGACAGGTTTTTTGGTTGTCGTTGCACTCAAATTTTCCTCCCTGACTTAGTGTTTTTGGTCAGTGCTCTTCAAACTGGCGAATCACCTGGGTATCTTGTTAAAATGCAAATTACGGTTCAGTAGGTCTGGGAGGGCGTCTGAGATTCGAAGTTTCTGACGAGCTCCCAGGTGGTAGCTTGCTGCCTGTTTTGGAAGCACGCTTTGAATTGCAAGGTTTTGGGTAGCGTTTACAGTCTAAATATATTCCCCTGCGTTTTCTAATAATGTTGTTATCACTTTGTTTTTACTTTTTTATTTTCGTTCCAGGGATAAGGCCTTGCTCTGGCTTTGAGAGCCTCCCTCACTTCCTCCCAGTCAAAGATTATTTTGAGGAGGAGTAGCAACAGTAACTATAAACTTCCCTTTATAGTACTTCCGGTGGAGAGGGGCTGTGATACCAAATAAACAAGATGGGATAATTAAGATCTCAGAGTCTGAGTCCTTCCTTCTACAAGTATCAGATATGTATGTGAGTGTGTGCACATACGGTATTACTAAAGAAGTACAGTAAGTTCTTTGCCCTTGAGAGTTTTAAATTTGATTGGAAAACAAAATATACATAGAAAAAAATGTGAGTGTTGTTATAAACGAGTGTATTAGGGGTGAAATATTAAGGTACAGGTGAAAAGCATAATTGCTATGATTTATAAAGTGTGATCAGACAGGCTATCGTTAATCAGGGAAGTCTTCCTGAAAGAGGTAATGTTTGAGCCTGAGTTTAAGTGGCTTGGATCGTTAAAGAAGGATTTAGAGGGATGAAGTTATATTAGGGAACTAACAAGTCTTTGTTGAGGGCTTCAAGCTTTTAAAAGGAACCCAAAAGGCACACCAACTAGCCTGATTACGCCCGTTGTCACTGCAGCTGTGCCTGGCTTGAAGTTTCTGACATTCGGGGCTAAGTGTATGACACTCATGCAAGGCTAACTGTAGTTCTCTTATAACAGAGCGAATTCAATGCATACGTTCAGGAATTCCTTACTCTTCTTGGGGAGATTGACCTTGTGCTGGAGAAGCTTCCTGAATGGGTTAAGGCTACACCAGCTAAGAAGAACATGCTCATCATGCTGGATGAGGCCTACATTCAGCCACAGCCACTGGGAGTTGTACTGATTATTGGAGCTTGGAACTACCCCCTTGTTCTCCTCATTCAACCTCTGATAGGAGCCATTGCTGCAGGTCTGATGTCAGCTTACATCTTTATACCTTTTTAGAGGGGCTTATTTTCTCATACTGGTTGTACGTTAACGATAGTGACTAATTAAATGCATTTACTTTGCTGGTTTGCTCAATACCCCACTAGTGTGTTGAGAATTTATAAATATCATCTTTTTAAATGGCCTCCAGAGGAGATTTGCATGGTGGCTGTTTTTCAAAGCACCTGGGGAATGAACCTGTGGGACTATAAAGGCATAAGTCAACAGGCCCAGGGTTTGGAGTCAGGCGTCCATTTTCTAATGTGGTTTCAGTAGCTGACTCTGGCCTTGAATGAACCATTTGATTCTGTGTGACCAGTTTCTTCATTCACATAAGATCTATGGGAATAATAGAAGCTTGAGTGTGTAGCCAATGCCAAGAGATTAATTTCTCACTTCTGGAGGATCCGGGTCAACAGCTTTATGTTGACAAGCTTGTCTGCCAATAATTGCAGGGAAGACAGGAAAATCCAAGGGTGGAGTGGGAGAAAAGTCAGAGAAAGCTGGAAGAGTCGGGGAGGCTGGCGGAGCCTATTGTCAGTGACCTGAAGGTGAGAACTAAGGAGTTGGCATTTGAGAGAGAAAGTGAGACGAGCTCTTATGCTCATTATAAGAGAGAGCAGAATTAAGAGCTGCAGAGGTAATTGGAGTAGCAGTATTCCCCACATGAACACCGTTTTGGTAGGTATTAAAGTTACTCAGGTATTCAACAGAACCATCTTGCTTTTTTCTTTGTTTAGGAAATGCTGTGATTATGAAGCCTTCTGAAGTAAGTGAAAATACAGCCAAGATCTTGGCTAAGCTGCTCCCTCAGTATTTAGACCAGGTAAGAATGTCTGGACCCCTCATTGACACGTCTGTTTATTGTGGAGAGCACGCATTTGATCTTCCTACTAGTGCCTGTCACTGAGGGCTGGGGGTCTGTTTGCACTTTCCTTAAATCTCCAGTAATTGGCTTAATAAAAGTTAAGCTCCAAATCAAACTGTGGAATAACTCAGCTCTTGTGGCTACACAATATATTTAGGCCTATGGCTTCATTGTCACCCTGGCTATTTACAGATCCTTTTCTGCCATTTGGCATTTTGAATTAACCTTTATTTTCCCTAACGTGATTTTAAGTGTATTCTTTTAGTGACTTATTTAATGAGGGACTGAGGCCGAGCTGCGTGCTGATGATCTCTTTTGTCTTAATGGGGTGTGGCTGTATGGGAACACTTCTGCTTTTAAAATGGGCATGTTTGTGGCGCTAAAACTACAGGAAAAAAAATGGCATCCTGAACCAGAGTATGGACCCTCTCTTGGAGTTAAAGCGCTGGCATTTACAAGTGTCAAAAGCTGAGTCAGGAAAGTGATCTCCTCAGTCATAGAGTGGCTCCTCTCTGTTCAAAGCGGAGGTTCTCGTGCCCCCCTAGAGAGGAAGTGTATATTGCCGTCATGAAATCGGGACTGCTTAGTTCTACACAGGATTGCTTCGGGGGGAGTCTTCATTTGGCTTTCGTTGAAAGACAACTTTACAATATCATAACTGGAGTTGTATGCATTAAAATAATCCAGAGGCCAACTCCAGCTCTTGGAATAATATTGTTCCCTTTGTTGTCTTCTCAGTGCTACAGCAGTCTACAGAACAATTTTGTTCTAATAGCTATGGTTATCCAGTTCATGGTTACTGAGATGTCATGGACTGAGTGGTGTTTGGAACCAGAAGATAGAGGTGGAAGGTCTTACTTTCCACCTCACTGGGGATAAATTCTTCACTATGACTCTGTCCAGGTGGGGAAATAATGCCTGCCCTGCCTCACTTAGCTTGTTGGGGTACCGATCCCATATGCCCTGTAGGTAAGCCTTATGCAAGGTAAAACTTGAAACATTTGTGGGCAGTTGAACTATGAAATGAATGAGAGCTAGTTAGCCCTCCTAATTAACAGGAGATCAAGTGGAAACATGAGTTCCACAGTGAGCTTTTATTTCACTCCCACCCCTCAGAGTCTTTTGAACATCTCCTGCTATCTTCCTTCCTTGCCGTCTGTTCTCTGTCATTGCTTTTCATGCTGTTATTATCCAAGATGTTCTCTCTTTTATAAAGTTGTTAATAATAGCAGTGTACATAAGGGCTCCGTCCAAAACTCTGTGACTTCTCCCCAGTAACAGGTGAGGAAAGTGAGGCTCAGAGATGTTCAGTAGCTTGCCAAAGGCCACATAAGCTAGTGACAAAGCCCAGATTTAGTCCAGATCTGACTTCACGAGCAAGGGCTCTCACCTGCTGTGCTTTGCGTACATTGCTTCAGCAGACATGTGCTTGATTCCTGCCATGGACCAAGCCCTGCACTGTGTTGTGTAGAAAGAGAATGTTCAGTTTAAGATACTCAGCCGAGGCCTGTCCTGTGATCCTTGACAGCAGCCACTTTCTGACCAAAATCCTCAACTTGCACAGCCCCCATCTCGTGCATTTTGCTGATCAAATCCAGCCATTTGTTCCCTCTTTTGTGTCTTCGTTGCTGGGCTCATGTGGAAAATGCTGGACTGTCTGGTCAGTTCCACTGTTGGTCGTTGGGTTTCAGATGCCTTGAGACTCTGTTCTCCCCTTGTCCTCCTCCAGTTCCCCCTTCTGACACTATAAGGGCTGATCTCTGTCTTCTGGTTTTCCTGACTATTACATGTTTATGTTGAAGAAATTGCTCACGTTAGACAATAGGATTAATTTGGTGATGCAGGTGTTTATGTTCTTCTTTCTTTAAGGACCTGTATGTTGTTGTTAATGGTGGCATCGAGGAGACCACAGAACTTCTCAAGCAGCAATTTGACCACATTTTATATACGGGAAACACTATGGTTGGAAAAATTATCATGGAAGCTGCTGCCAAACATCTGACCCCTGTGACTCTTGAACTTGGGGGTAAGAGTCCGTGCTACGTTGACAGAGACTGTGACCTGGATGTCGCCTGCAGGTGAGACTGGCTCTCTGGTTATCGGAGGTTTTCCAGGCTCAGCAGAGACTTTTCCGAACAGGTCGGTGTATCGTCTTTGCACTGGAACCCTGTGCCTCCTGGCTCTGAGAGATGCCGTTAAGTGTTGGTGGTTGACGTCCTGAGGAGTGACAGGATTCTTAACTGTCTCTTGGTGCCATAGCCAGAAGAGATGAGCGATAGATCTGGACGCCACATGATTATCCTTAGGTGCTATGAACAATTTCTTTCTGTTATCAGGATTATAAATTTGGCAAGAAAGTTTACTGTTCTGCTGGTAGGTGATCCACGAAGTAGGTAATCTAGAGTAATAGTATATGTGCCTGATAATATTTAAATGCTCAACAGAAAGGGTGTTGTTATTTTTTTTAGTTGCTTTTTCTCCTCAAATCTCCCCAGCACATAGTTGTATATTTTATTTCATTTCTTTCTTTCTTTATTATTTTTTATTGAGTTAATGATAGGTTACAATCTTGTGAAATTTCATTTGTACATTATTGTTTGTCAGTCGTGTTGTGGGTGCACCCCTTCACCCTTTGTGCCCACCCCCCAGCCCCCCTTTCCCCTGGTAGCCACTAATCTGTTCTCTTTGTCCCCATGTTTAAATTCCTCATATGAGTGGAGTCATACAGAGATCGTCCTTCTCTAACTGGCTTATTTCACTTAACATAATTCCCTCAAGGTCCATCCATGTTGTTGCAAATGGGACGATTTTGTTCTTTTTTTATGGCTGAGTAGTATTCCGTTGTATCTATGTACCACATCTTCTTTATCCATTCATCAGTCGATGGGCACTTAGGCTGCTTCCACATCTTGGCTGTTGTAAATAATGCTGCAGTGAACATAGAGGTGCATGGGACTTTTGGAACTGCTGACTTCAACCTCTTTGGATAGATGCTCAGTAGTGGGATAGCTGGATCGTACGGTAGTTCTATTTTTAATTTTTTGAGGAATCTCCATACTGTTTTCCATAGTGGCTGCACCAGTTTGCATTCCCACCAGCAGCATATGAGGGTTCCTTTTTCTCCACAACCTCTCCAACATTTGTTACTATTAGTTTTAGTTATTTTTGTCCTTCTAATGGGTGTAAGGTGATATCTTAGTGTAGTTTTGATTTGCATTTCCCTGATGATCAGCGATGATGAGCATCTTTTCATGTGCCTATTGGCCATCCGTGTATCTTCTTTGGAGAAATGTCTGTTCATTTCTCCTCCCCATTCTTTGATCGGGTTGTTTAATTTTTTGTTGTTGAGTTGTGTGAGTTCTTTATATATTATGGATATTAAGCCTTTGTCGGATGGATGACTTGCAAATATTTTTTCCCAGTTAGTGGGTTGTTTTTTTGTTTCAATCCTGTTTTCCTTTGCCTTGAAGAAGCTCTTTAGTCTGATGAAGTCCCATTTGTTTATTCTTTCTGTTGTTTCCCTTGTCTGAGAAGGCATGGTGTCCGAAAAGATCCTTTTAATACTGATGTCAAAGAGTGTTACTGCCTACATTTTCTTCTAAAAGCCTTATGGTCATAGTTGTATATTTTAGTTGTGAGTCCTTCTAGTTGTGGCACGTGGCCCGCCGCCTCAGCATGGCCTGATGAGTGGTGCCATGTCTGTGCACAGGATCCGAACTGGTGAAACCCTGGGCTGCCAAAGCAGAGTGCGTGAACTTGACCACTCGGCTGTGGGGCCAGCCCCAAAAAGGGTATTATTTTGATCTCTTAACTGAGTTTCTTTTTTGACAAAACCAGTATTACTCATCTTTTGACTTAGAATAGAATCTTGCTTCTGGGAACTAGAAAACAAAAGGTTTCAGGTTTTCTCTGCTCAATCAAGTTTAGCTACCAGGAAGCACCAAAACCCAGAACTGACTGTGAGCTCAGGGTGGTATGGCTTTCTCTCCTCTTCAGAGATGGGGCAAGGAGGAGGTGTAGGGAGCTAGGCTGGGGTCCAGCTTGGCTTCATAAGTAAAGTCTGCCTGCCAGAACACGAGACCCTCTGTTTGTGACTGTTCAGGTCTTGGACTTTGATCTGTACGTGGGCATGGCTTTCCAAATTGGGGAGGGGCTCCACGTAGAAGAGGCTGGTCTCACAGGCCAGCCGTTGTCCTGCTTTGTTACCTGAACATCCTGCCAGCAGGATCTAAAGCCACCAGGAGAGGTGGAGTCTGTGTGAACGCCTCTCATCCTGCATGTCCTTTTGGTGGGACTGATAGGAGGAAGAGGGTGTCGGGAGGCTGTTTCTCTCTTTTCCTGCAGCAGATAATGGCTTAACTGCTTATAAAGTACTATTTCCCTGGAGCTGGCCTGAGAATTTCCCTGCTGCTTAGAATATTCTACTTCAGTTGGAAAATGCATTCCAAGTTCCAACCAGCTGATTTAGAGATGAGTTTTCACAACATTTTACTTTTTTATAAAGATTACCAAGTAACTCTATGAATGCATGCTAGTTCCAAAACATTCAAACAACACAGAATTATGTAACAAATTAATAGTAGACTGAATTCTGTGGCTCTTCTGTGTTTTTTCCCTTCAGACGCATCGCCTGGGGGAAGTACATGAATTGCGGCCAAACCTGCGTTGCTCCTGACTACATCCTCTGTGAGTCATCCCTCCAGAATCAAATCGTGCAGAAGGTGAAGGAGACCTTGAAGGTTTGTGTGTGGCACATCTCATTCTCTTGGTTTATTGAGATACAGAGTCAAATCGACTGTTTGCAGGCAGCATCCCTGTTCCCTCCTCCCCTGGAAAATTCCAGTGGTCGGTATGACTGAGTTAACTTATTGTCTAATTAAAAATGGTCTGTGCACCTTTCATAGAATGTCTGCTGGGGCAATGTTAGCTTGCTGTTGGACACACTTGGACTGTCTAGTTGATTTGTTGATGAAACACGCTTTTAGGCATGTTGTGGCACATGCTTTAAAAAAAATTAAGTGTGTTTGGTGGTTTTGCAAGAATGTTCCCACTCCTTTGAATTCAGTCAGAGGCCCTTTGGCATATTGGCCATTGCTGATTAAGGTTATCAGTTCTTGTGTATGTAGAGAGTTTAGGAAGGCCAAGAGTTTGGAGAAGTGAGTTAATTAAGTACCTGTTTATTGTATATTCTTGACATGCTTATCAATCTTTTAGAGTGTTTAAAGATCTGTAGCAGGGGAATCAAGGAAGGCTGTGTGCTAGTGTCCTAAGCTAAGCCTTGAAGAAAGGTAGGATGTGGATTGCACAAAAGGAATGTGATGACTCCGTGTGATACTGAGCACTGGGCTCGCCCTGCTCACCATGATCTGAGCCAATTAATCACAACAAGTTAGGGATCAAGAAAGGAAGTTTAGACTAGCAGGCTAATTGGAAGACGAGTGACTAATGTCTCAAAAACCCGTCTTCAGTCAGCAACATGGTGGCGTGAGCTCACCCAGGACACTCTCCCCTCCAAATTACAACCAAAAAGAGCAACTGCTTTCCAACCAAAGAAAAAATCCTAATAACAGAAATCGTCAGAGTCCCACAGCAGCCAAACGACGGAAGGTGGAAAGGCTGGAGCCCCACTCAGAGGACCTGGAACGGGGTAGGAGAGAAGTTCGCTCCCACCTCTAGAGGCTGGGATTGCTGCCGCCGGTGCGGGAAGCAGCGGGGGAGGGGCCGCGTGTCCGGGATTGTCCAGGACTCCCACCTCCCGAGCAGCAGAAACCCTCTAACAGGGGAAAGCTTTTGTGTGGAAGAACCCCAGCAACCCAGGGCCCCGGCAGACCAGAAAGTGAGAGCTGATCCGAATCCAGGTCCGCATGAGTGAGGGTGCCCCTCCTCCCCCAACCCATGCTGCCCACTGCTATTGTGGCTGGAGGCTCAGAAAACAAGCCTCTTGACCCCCATCTAGTGGCAACAGGCTGTTATTGCAGCTGAATAATCCCATCATGTTGAAAAACCGCTCCTCTACCATCCAGCAATTTATAAAAGCTCCAGTCCAAGAGGAAAACAATAAAAATACAGAAGTAGGTCCTGAGGGCTTGGAAATGGGTAAACTAAGTGAAGATGACTTCAACATAGCTATCCTCAAAATATTCAATGAGGTAAAGGGAAATATAGAGAAACAAGTCAACGAGTTCTGGAGTTACTTCACAAAAGAGATCGAAATTATAAATAAGTATCAATTAGAAATACTAGAGATGAAAAATACAGTGGATCTGATAAAACAGAATATGGATTCGCTGAATGCCCATGTAGACACCATGGAGGAGCAAATTAGCATAATTGAAGATAGACAGGCTGAATGGCTCCAGACAGAGGAAGGAAGAGAACTAAGAATTAAAAAACTGAAGAAAATATGAGACAAATAGCCGACTCACTGAGAAAATGCAACTTAAGAATCATCAGAATTCCTGAGGGTGTGGAAAAGGAAAATGTAGGAGAAAGTGTGTTCAACGAAATAATAGAAGAGAACTTCCCAATCTAGGGATTGAGAGAGAAATGTGTATGGAGGAAGCTTTCAGATCTCCTAGATTTGTCAATGTAAAAAGACCTACTGCAAGGCATATAGTAGTAGAACTGGCAAAAATGAAGGACAAAGAAAGAATACTCAGGGCAGCAAGGCAGAAGAAAATAACTACAAAGGAACCCCTATCAGACTTTCAGCAGATTTCTCCACAGAAACCTTACAAGCTAGGAGAGAATGGAGTGACATATTCAAAACTTTAAAGGATAAAAATCTTCAGCCAGGAATACTCTATCCAGAAAAAATATCCTTCAAATGTGAGGGAAAAATTAAGTATTTTCCAGACAGACAAAAGCTAAGGGACTTTGTAGTCACAAGACCTCCACTACAAGAAATCCTCAAGAAGGCTCTCATACCTGAAAAAAGAAAGAAAGGGAGAAAGGGGTCACAAAACGCAGAGTAGGGAGACAAATAGATAGAATTTGAATAGGATAGCAAATATTCAACTATAGCATTAGGATGAAGGGAAGGAAATCACCAAATCATAGATAATCTTAGCACTCTAACCACAAACTCACATCACAAGTTGGAATAAGAGATGAAAATAATAATTTAGGAGGGGAGGAGGAAAGGGACTGAAACAGTCTAGGCTAAGGAAGTAACAGACCACCAGAAAATGGACTATGTTATACACGAGATTCTGAATACAAACTCCAGGGTAGCCACTAAACTAAAAAACAGAACAGAGATGCAAAACATAAATAAGGAAAAGTCTAAGAAACCCAGTATAAGAAATTGCAGAAGTCAATGGGTAGGCTAAAACACACAGGATGAGAAACAAAGGAAAACAGGAAAACCGGAAAACGAGCAACAGAATAACAGCATTAAGCCCTCATGCATCAATACTCACCCTCAATGTAAGCGGATTGAGCTTGCCAATAAAAAGACACAGAGTGGCAAGATCCAACAATTTGTTGCCTCCAGGAAAAACACCTCAGCTCCAAGGACAAGCACAGGCTCAGAGTGAAGGGGTGGAAGACAGTACTCCAAGCTAATAGCAAACAAAAGAAAGCAGGTGTCACAATACTTATATCAGACAAAACAGACTTCAAGATAAGGCAGGTAAAGAGAGACATAGAGGGCTAATATATAATGATCAAAGGGACACTTCATCAAGAAGAAATAACATTTATAAATATCTATGCACCCAACACAGGAGCACCAAAGTTCATAAAGCAACTATTAACAAACCTAAAAGAAGATATCAAAAACGACACAATAATAGTAGGGGACCTCAACACCACACTCACATCAATGGACACATCATCCAGACAGAAAATGAACAAAGAAACAGTGGAGCTAAATGAAAAGCTAAAACACTTGGACATAATAGACATATATAGAACACTCCATCCAAAAACAGCAGAATACACATTCTTAAGCACGCATGGAACATTCTCAAGGATAGACCATATGTTGGGAAACAAGGCAAGCCTCTACAAATTTAAGAGAATTGAAATAATAACAAGCATCTTCTCCACTCATAATGCTATAAAGCTAGAAATTAATTGCAAGAAAAAAGCTGAGAAAGGCACAAGGATGTGGAGACTAAACAATATGCTATTGAACAAGCAATGGATCATTGAAGAAATTAAATACGAAATCAGAAAATATGTGGAGACAAATGAACATGATAACGTGCCATACCAACGCATATGGGATGCAGCGAAAGCTGTATTAAGAGGAAAATTCATTGCAATTCAGGCACATCTTAACAGACAAGAAAAATCCCAAATCAGCAATCTTAAACTACACCTAACCAAATTAGAGAAAGAAGAACAAACAAAGCCCAAAGTCAGCCGAAGGAGAGGAATAATAAAAATCAGAGCAGAGGTAAATTTTATTGAAACAAAAAAGGTGGTAGAAAGGATCAATGAAACAGAGAGCTGGTTCTTTGAGAAGATAGATGAAATTGACAAACCCCTAGCCAGACTTACAAAGAAAAAAAGAGAGAAAGCTCAGATAAACAAAATGAGAAATGAAAGAGGAAAAATAACAACAGACTGCAGAAATACAACAGATTATAAGAGAATACTACGAAAAAACTATATGCCAACAAAATGGATAACCTAGAGGAAATGGATAAATTCTTGGACTCCTACAATCTCCCAAAGCTCACTCAAGAAGAAGCAGACAATTTGAACAGACCAGTCACAAGGAAAAAGATTGAAACAGCAATCAAAAGCATCCCAAAGAATAAAACCCCAGGACCAGGTGGCTTTCCTGGGGAATTCTACCAAACTTTCAGAGAGGATTTAATACCTATCCTTTTCAAGCTATTCCAAAAAATTAGGGAGGATGGAACACTTCCTAACACATTCTACGAGGCTAACATCACGCTGATACCAAAGCCTGACAAGGACACCACGGAAAAAGAGAACTACAGGCCAATATCGCTGATGAACATAGATGCAAAGATTCTCAACAAAATTTTGGCAACCAGAATCCGGCAATTCCTCAAAAGGATCATCCATCGTGATCAGGTGGGATTCATACCAGGGACACAGGGATGGTTCAACATCCGCAAATCAATCAATGTGATACACCACATCAACGAACTGAGGCATAAAAACCACATGATCATCTCAATAGAGGCAGAGAAAGCATTTGACAAGATCCAACAGCCATTTATGATAAAAACTCCAAACAAAATGGAGATGGAAGGGACTACCTCAACATAATAAAGGCCATATATGACAAACCACAGCCAACATCACACTCAGTGGGCAAAAACTGAACGCCATCCCCCTGAAAACAGGAACGAGACAAGGATGCCCTCTATCACCACTCTTATTTAACATAGTTCTGTCGGTCCTGGCCAGACCAATCAGGCAAGAAAAAGGAATAAAACGAATCCAAATAGGAGGGGAAGAAGTGACACTCTCACTGTTTGCAGATGACATGATCTTATATCTAGAAACCCCCAAAGAATCCATTGGAAAACTTTTAGAAGTAATCAACAACTACAGCAAAGTTGCAGGGTATAAAATCAATGTACATAAATCAGTAGCATTTCTATACTCTAATAATGAACTAACAGAAAAAGAACTGAAGAACACAATACCATTCACAATCGCAACAAAAAGAATAAAATACCTTGGGTGAATTTAATTAAGGAAGTGAAAGACCTATACAACGAAAATTACAAGGCTTTTCTGAAAGAAATGGATGACGACATAAAGAGATGGATTGGAAGAATAAACATAGTTAAAATGTCCATTCTACCTAAAGCAATCTACAGATTCAGCACCATCCCAATCAGAATCCCAATGAAGTACTTTACAGAAATAGAACAAAGAATCCTAAAATTCTTATGGGGCAACAAAAGACCCCGAATTGCTAAAGCAATCCTGAGAAAAAAGAACACAGCTGAAGGCATCACAATCCCTGACTTCAAAACATACTACAAAGCTACAGTAATCAAAACAGCATGGTACTGGTACAAAAACAGGTGCACAGATCAATGGAACAGAATTGAAAGCCCAGAAATAAAACCACACATCTATGGACAGCTAATCTTTGACAAAGGAACTGAGGGCATACAATGGAGAAAAGAAAGTCTTTTCAACAAATGGTGCTGGGAAAACTGGAAAGCCACATGTAAAAGAATGAAAATTGACCATTCTCTTTCACCAGTCACAAAAATAAACTCAAAATGGTTCAAAGACCTAAAGCTGAGACCTGAAACCATAAGGCTTCTAGAAGAAAATGTAGGCAGTACACTCTTTGACATCAGTATTAAAAGGATCTTTTCGGACACCATGCCTTCTCAGACAAGGGAAACAACAGAAAGAATAAACAAATGGGACTTCATCAGACTAAAGAGCTTCTTCAAGGCAAAGGAAAACGGGATTGAAACAAAAAAGCAACCCACTAACTGGGAAGAAATATTTGCAAGTCATCCATCCGACAAAGGCTTAATATCCATAATATGTGAAGAACTCACACAACTCAACAACAAAAAATTAAACAACCCGATCAAAGAATGGGGAGGAGAAATGAACAGACATTTCCCCAAAGAAGATATACGCATGGCCAATAGGCACATGAAAAGATGCTCATCATCGCTGATCATCAGGGAAATGCAAATCAAAACTACACTAAGATATCACCTTACACCCATTAGAATGACAAAAATATCTAAAACTAATAGTAACAAATGTTGGAGAGGTTGTGGAGAAAAAGGAACCCTCATATGCTGCTGGTGGGAATGCAAACTGGTGCAACCACTATGGAAAACAGTATGGAGATTCCTCAAAAAATTAAAAATAGAACTACCGTACGACCCAGGTATCCCACTACTGAGCATCTATCCAAAGAGGTTGAAGTCAGCAGTTCCAAAAGTCCCATGCACCTCTATGTTCACTGCAGCATTATTTACAACAGCCAAGATGTGGAAGCAACCTAAGTGCCCATCAACAGATGAATGGATAAAGAAGATGTGGTACATATATATACAACGGAATACTACTCAGCCGTAAAAAAGAACAAAATCGTCCCATTTGCAACAACATGGATGGACCTTGAGGGAATTATGTTAAGTGAAATAAGCCAGTTAGAGAAGGATGATCTCTGTATGACTCCTCATATGAGTAATTTAAACATGGGGACAAAGAGAACAGATTAGTGGCTACCAGGGGAAAGGGGGGCTGGGGGATGGGCACAAAGGGTGAAGGGGTGCACCTACAACACAACTGACAGACAATAATGTACAACTGAAATTTCACAAGATTGTAACCTATCATTAATTCAATAAAAAAAAAAACCTCTTCAAAAATTACAGAATCTTGAGGCAGTTATATAGGGAAAATGGGCAGTCAGGGAGGGGATCCAGGATGTTGGTCTCCATGCATGATGGGCTCCAGGCATTAATCGAATTTTTTAAAGTTCATGCAGAGCATCGAGTAGTCACACAGGAGGGACTGGGGCCATTTAGCCCAACAAGATGGCTTCACTTTTGCTCACTTAGAAGTTCACTGGTAGGAGGGGATCATTAAGCCCCCTGGGTGGAAGAACTTACTGAAACAATCATTGTTCCCTCAACACGTGCTAATTGAGCACAGAAAGGAGGGATCAAGAACAACAAAGAATGACATGTATGATCAGACAATGAAAGTTGTATCCGGGAAGCTAGGGAAGCCTGGTGCTCCAGGGCGTCACTGGGCATTAGGTGCTGAGGGAGCTGATGTGGGAATTGGACGTTAGTGATGGGACTGAAGATGCCGCCAGACAAGGGGAACATGAAAGGACAACTGGCCAGATCCAGGAAACATGGGACGGCCGAGAGAGAGGTTAAAGATGCCTGGGAGACGGACAGTGCTTGGGAATTGGCAAAGTTGTGCTTAGCTGAGTTGGTGATGAACTCTATCTCAAAGGAATAAGAGCCCCTCTGCCTGCCTTTGAGGAGTTGATACTCTTAACACAGTGGTTCTCGACCAAGATTCACCAGGGAGCCATTTAAGGAAAGTTTCCAGTCCTCCCCTCCGAAGACTGTGCGTCAGTTGGTCTGGCATCTCCAGGTGATTCTAAGGTACACCCAGCATTGGAAACCACTGTTGCTGACTCTGGAGTTAGGGCCCGGGAACGTGCGTTTCAACAAGCCACCTGGGTGATTTTACCAGCCAGACCTGAGGCTGTTTGTGAAGAGTGGATGAACAGTGCTCATTTTGATTTGAGAGTCAATTAAGAGCTTTCAACAAGACGTTGAAGTGATGCGGTAATTCCTTAATTACACATATGTTTTACATAATAATTATTGATTATATGATTTTTGAGGTTCTTTTACCTTGGTTAATTTACCAACATTGTGTTTTGATCCTTTGAGTGGTTTCCCTATTATCCATGACTGGTGGAATACCAGTCCAGAGAAGATGATAAAACAATGAGATAGCACAAAAGCTCAGCAAACTTTTTCTGTAAAGGATTAGATAGTGAATATCTTAGGCTTTGCAGGCCATAGGGTCTCCATTGCAGTAAGCAATTCACTGCAGGAGGAGAGCAGCCACCGCTGATACTTAAACGGGTGGTGACCCTGACACAGAGCAAGACCTCCCCCTCTGCCTCCTCTCGCATTCAGCCCGCAGGAGGGCCCACAGATAGACTGCAAGAGAGCCGCGTGAACCCCTGAAACCGTGGAAAATGAGAGATCTCTGTGTGCTTTAATTCTTGCCCTTGACGCTCCAAAAAGCTTAAACTTAGTACTGTTATACTGCTACGAAAGTACTTGGGGGTTGAGGGGTGGTATAAAACCAGATTGATTTTTGGGCGAGTGGATTTTGTGCTTATTACAGAAATTGAAATTTGAATCTTTTGTGACAATTAAATACTATTGTTTTACGTAGGAATTTTATGGAGAAAATATAAAAGAATCTCCTGATTATGAAAGGATCATCAATCTTCGTCACTTTAAGAGGATACTAAGTTTGCTTGAAGGACAAAAGATAGCTTTTGGTGGAGAGACCGATGAAGCCACACGCTATGTAGGTAATGGAAATTCCACCTTCTTTCGGGGAGATGGAAATTTGACAGCTTTTATTGACTATTTACTGACACTAAATAAATTACTACAGATCTTCCTCAACTTACAATGGAGTTATGTCTTGATAAACCCATCGTAAGTTGAAAATATCTGTAAGTGGAAAATGCGTTTAATACACCTAACCTCCCGAGCATCATAGCTTCGCCTCGTCTGCCTTTAACATGCTCGGAACACTGTCATTAGCCTGCAGTTGGGCAAAATCATCTAACACAGAGCCTATTTTATAATTAAGTATGACTATCTCATGTAATTTATTGAATACTGTACTGAAAGTGAAACACAGAATGGTCGGTGGGTACAGAATGGTGGGTCACCCTCGTGATGGCGGCTCGCTGCCACTGCCCAGCATCACGGCAGAGCGTCGTACTGGCTGTCGCTAGCCCGGGAAAAGGTCAGAATTCAAAATTCAAAGCACGGTTTCTACTGAAGCATCTATAGATCTGTAGTGTTTAACAAACCATTAAATACTGCTTTCTGATATACTGCTTTTGCTATAAACTAAAGATGATTTTATATAGAGAGAGAGATACACACACGCGTTTAATAATCCCACCTGTATTATACTAGTTTTTTGTATTTGCACATATTTTATCTAATTTTTTTTTCTAACAACCCTGAGAAGCAGAATAAAACTTTATGGAATTATTTCTAATTTATGGTTGGAAAAATGGCACCAAGAAGGAAATAGCTTAGTCACAATTCCACAACTAGCTGATGGTAGTACTGTTCCCAGAAACAATGTTTTGATCTATTGTGCTTGACCTTGTCGTTTACTTTCTTTTTGTCTTTTTTATTCTTTGCCATGAATATATATTACTTTTGAATTTTAAACACATTTTTCTAAAATAACATATAAGGTGACAGAAGAATTACACACTTCGTTGGCAAAAAGGCTGCCCAAATAGCTTTACTTATCCCCTTTTATGCCGCACATCACCAAAAACCCAACTTAAAAAAAAACAAAACTTGAAGGACTTAATAAGGAAAAATGTTTTCTCTCATAATGAGCAGTCCTGGGGTACTTCCAGCCTGTTAATTCAGTGGTTTAGTAATACCCTCAAAAATCCCTGATTCTTTCATCTTTCTGTTCTTCCAGCCTCAGCATGATGACTTTGCCCACTTCTAGGCTCATCAGTGGCAAGAGGAAAGGTCTGTCATGGTTGGTTCAAATTAGTTAGGACCTTTCACCGACCGGGAGTCAGGGCCACCTTACCTGAGCACATGGCTGTGCAGAGGAGGGTAGACACCCAAACCCAATCAGTTCTCTGAGCCAGGGAAGCAGCGGGCAGCAGATTTGGGTTGGCACTTGTATACCCCTGGGGTGTGCTAGAAAGAGCCATCCTCTGCCGTGTTGCCAGCATAACCTAGTAGGACACTAAACGAAAAGAGCCAACTTGTTGTCAGATGTCTTCTCTTTTAGTTGATAATCCAGCTTGCTAGGGTCATTTTGAGTACCACTAACAGGTGACTTACTTGGCATGGCTGCTGGGACACTGTAGCTTCTTCAGTGTCCATATTGCCCTCTTTTCTTATGACCCTTCCGCATAGTGGATGGAACACTGAACTAAGGGTCAGGGAATCTTGACCATTTAAGTATGTTTTCTTAATCTGCCTAATGGAGTGGAAATAAAGGTCATAAGTGTAAGGAAGCACTTGAATTAAGAAGTGGTGTTGATTTGATCCACAGAAGGGCTCTCAGTGCTTCCAGAAAGGCATACATATAACCTCCTGTTCTGAATATGGACATGAATCTGGCTGTGAACAGGGTGAAATATGAGTAGGATATATCCAACTATATCTTCTCCTTGGTTTGCACAAGGATACCTTGATTCACATACTTGGGGACATTTAATTTGCACAATTCATCCACGTACTCAGGACTTTTTTTTCAGTGGATAATGCTTGGGTGGAAGTAGGAAACGGATGGATGGGTGACCCAATGGAACAAATGTAAGGTGACAGCTTTGCATTTCTGATTTCTTTAGCATTTTCATTTTGCTTATTTCCCTTTTAGCCCCAACGGTACTTATTGATGTTGATCCTGAAAGCAAGGTGATGCAAGAAGAAATTTTTGGACCAATTCTTCCAATAGTGCCTGTAAAGAATGCAGAGGAGGCCATAAGATTCATAAATGAACGTGAAAAGCCCCTGGCTTTCTATGTATTTTCTCATAACGATAAGGTAAACTTTACAGAGAACAGGTCACTGTCATAAGCCACTGTCATAAATTGTGTTCCTTCTTTGCTGTAAAGCAGATGATGGTTTATTTTGTGTAACAGCAGAGCACACTGAGAGAGGCTGCACTCAGAGATGGCCGTCTTGGGTAATGAGGCCCTAGGGTTATTGCTGTTAGCTTTCCCCTACTCCCTGGGGGTAGAGCCAAGTCCTCAGGGGTGAGAGTCACAAGTTTTTTGACTCACAAACACCTTCTGTTGAGTTGGACAACTTGTATGTTCCAGCAAAAGCTTTTCCAACATCAGTCCACAGGGTATCCTGTGTCAGAGTCCCTCTTACCCGATGCCATTCGCAGCCACTCAGTGGGGCTGCGTGGACAGATCTCTGGCACTGTCATGGAAATGGTTGTGATATCCTGAACCTTAGTTTCTCCAGTTCCATTACTTTGTTGTTAGAGCAGAGGAACCATACCAGCCGGGGGAGGATGTCACACCGTCACACCAGGACGAGCAGCTGCGCCACTTTCTGCGCGGCTCGTTCATTTGCGTGGTTCATTCAAGGTGACCGGCTGCTCCCAAGGGACAGTAGGTGGGCAAGTAGGTTCAGGAGCCCTCTGATGAAAAGGGAAAACTAGAAGGGGAAGATGGGACCAGTCGAGGTCTGAGGAGTTCTCAAATTAGATGTTTTCCAGAGAGCGTCTGGTGGTCACATACAGGTAGTCGTGTAGCAGCTTCTGGAGCTCGTAGTGCTGTGGAGATAGAGCTGTGTGAAGTGAGACCAGAGGTGGGCTAAGGAAGTAAGGGGTTATTAACAAACAACGGTCTGACATTTTAAATGACCACAGGTAATGTGGTGGACAGGAACCCTGAAACCTGAAGTCTACTGGCCAGGGTGGAGGTCAGAGGAGAGCACTTCCCAGCAGTGGGTCACCTGCTGTGACCACAGTCCGCTGTTAATGCCCACCATGAGAAACTCTCAAGGGCTTGTTGGCAGCAAGGTGAAATGGCATTTACCAGTCAGGTGCTATTGTGCCTATTTGGGTCTTAGGCCAACGTTTATTTCTTCAAAAGTAGGATGCTAAATCTGAAATCTTAAATACTTTTTGCATTTCATAAAAACTAAATGACATCTATTAAGTATGTGCTATAATTTAGAGCAGAGATGGAGAAATACTAACAATTTTTAAAACCTGGAATATAGACTGAAATTCCCTTGTGGGGGTGGTGGCAGGAAGGCTTGGGCCAGCCTGGTAGCATAGTAGTTAAGTTCACACACTCCACGTCAGCAGCCTGAGGTTCACAGGTTGAGATCTCAGGTGTGGACCTACACACCGCTCATCAAGCCATGCTGTAGTGGTGTCCCACATACAAAATAGAGGAAGATTGGCACAGATGTTACCTTAGGGCCACTCTTCCTCACCTAAAAAAAAAGGCTTTTGCTGCCATTTGGTGTAGTCCAGCTCTAGGTGGAGGTTGCGTGAACCAGACCAGTCTGGTGCTACTCCTCACAGTACTAGGTGTGTGTCTGAGAAGTTAGATCATCTGAGTACATATTTGCTAAACTGAAAAACACTTAGATTGTGGGTTGGGCACAGACTCGAGTGGTGGTGCTGACACACACAGCCGGCATGTTCATCCCTCCGGCACACAGCCTGTTTGCGGGTGCTGCTGACACCGAGCCTCTGTTCTGTCCTCAGCTCGTCAAACGGATGATTGAGGGCACATCCAGCGGCGCCGTCACAGTCAACGACGTCGTAGTGCACTTCATGCTCAGCTCGTTACCCTTTGGAGGAGTGGGTGAGCATTCCTCTCTCCTGTTCATAGCAGACATTTCTGAAGGCCCCATTGTTTCGCGAATCATTTGATTGTCCTCTCCTTAGAGGACACTCAGTTCTCCTGCCACCCCACCAGGCCCTGCTGAGGGGTTAGTCTGTATTTTCTCACCCACTTCCCATCCTTAGTAGCACTTAGCACAGTCTGTAATTATTTTGTTCCTTTCATTGGTTTATTTGTTTATTGTCCTTCTCCCAGATTTAGGGGATATTTTTGGTGAAAAATCACATCTCAAATTCATTGATTAAGGTGCCTCTGTCTTTGCTTTAAGTGAGGTAGTGAATGACAAGTTCATGGTGCCGGGAGCAAACAGCAGCCCAAGGGTTTCTCTTGTCTCTCTGCTCTCTGCTCGGGGTCGTGTTAAGTAGTACTCGGTTTCCACCTGTGCTGCTCCCCAGCCCTGTGTGCGGCGAGCGGCCTCTGAACTGTCTCACTGCTTGAGAAGAGCTGGAGAGCCCCCGTGCTCTAGAGAGGACGGGCAGAAAGAAACTCACTCTCCCTGATGCTCTGTGGACACGGCCTGGGCACGCTGCTCCCTATGGGCTGGGAGCTGCCTGTCTCTTTTATACCTGAGATGATTGAGCCAACTTTTTATTTTTACTTCGGGACCTAGGTGGTAGGCTTCTCTATTATCTAGTTAGATATTATAAAATAGCAAATATGTAAAAATTCTCATAGCGAAAAGCAAACAATAAAGCCACTGTCTTAAAAGTTCCTGCTTTATTCTCTCCCTCTGTAATAGCATAAATAAATTACTCCGTAGGAATGCAGTGGCTCAGTTTTGCAGGAACACTTATTCCTGATTAAGGCAAGCTTGTTCCATGGCCAGGAAATCCTGGCCTCCTTCCCATGATTGCCACGTGTCCCTTTCTAGGATGTAACATAACAGCCAGCGCTCAGCACCGTGCCCGGCGTATGTGGAGGCCGGGTTGGGATATCACGGGATCCAGGCCGGAGCTGGTGGTGGCTTGGACTAGGATGGTGGCAGAGGAGCTAGTGGAAAGGGAGTGGACATTTTGGGGAGTCAAGCAACAGGATTTGCTGAAGGATTGTGAATGTGTTGCCAGAGGAGAGATGGTGAAGAAGGAAAGGGTAGCTCATGGAATCTGGGCTGGAGTTAGTATTGTAGTGTCGCTGCCCAAACTGTTAAAGGGTTAGATTAGACTCTGCTGTCTCTGGCTCCTCAGTCCCCCGCAGGATCCTGGCTCCCACCGCACAGCTGCAGCCAAAGTGACGTCACCAGTGCCTGCCGAATGCAAACCTGGTGGCTTGGGTTCAGTCCCTTCTTGCTTGACTAGATATCCTTTGGCATCATTGACCATACCCTTTATAACAAAACAAACCATTTTCCCCCTAAATGCAGAAGGAATACAGTCTTTTAAAGAAAACTTTGGAAAGATAGAAGAGCGCAAAGAGTAAAAATTTAATTACCTGTAACTCTAGTATTTAAAGATAACCTCTGGCGTACGTTCTTAAAATTCTTTCCTTGCATATATATGCATACACATATACACAAATACATGAGTATTTCATTAAAAAATGATATCTATTGTTTTCTACCCTGTATGTGACAATATAGTGTGACGTCTTCCCATGTCAGTATGCTTGCATGTCATGATTTTAGTAACTGCATACTGTTCCGTCATAAGAATGCAGCGTCTTTGGTTAACTAGTTTCTGGTAATAGGTTTTTTTGATTTCAAGTTTGTTGGTATTAGGATTCTAATATATTTTCGTGTAGTTTCTGATTATTTCCTTAGGAAAAATGTCTAGAAGTATAGTTGCTGTGTTGAAAGGGCTTATACTTTTTTAAAAAAATGAAATGCTTTTTCCTTTTCATTCTAAAAGTAATATAGGCTTTTGGGGGAAAAAAAGAAAAGCAAACAAAACACTACAGAAAGTTAAAAGGAAAAATGTAGTAACCTCCCAGGCATAAACACTATTAATATTTTGGCATACAGTTTAGCTTTTTCTTTAAAAATACATATCTTTTGATACATATTGCCAAATTTTCCTTCAGCTTCAGCTGTCACCTAAATGACACACCAGCCATCTGGCCCTGTCCACTGCTTCCTTGACCCCCTGTTGCCCAGGCCTTGTGCCCCGTGCCTTACATGTGTATCCACAGCACACATGGTAGATGAGAGGAAGGGAAAGGCGCAGAGCATGGCTTTTGAGGAGGGCAGAGACTTACACTGGCTTATGGTCACCCAGCTGCATGACCCTGCTGTCCTGGTCCTTGTTAACTCTCTAGGAGCTTAGAGGAGGCAAGTGGGTGAGTAGGGCTGTGGATAAATGAAGCCCCAGGGAATGGTGGGAAAAGAACGCACACAGCATTTAGGGTCTGACGATCTGGGCTCACCTTCTGGCTTTGCATTTTTCACCCTGGGCAAGTGCCTGACCCTGCTAAGCCCCTTTCCCTCTCTGGAATTGGGAGTGGGGACACTTCACACAGTGGAGCAGTGGTGAGAATTAACTTAGAGAATGGATTTCCATGCTTGGCATGGTCCTTGGCACCACTACCCCAGAGACCTGTGAATCTTTGCCCTACTTTGGAAAGCGTCCTGTTTGAAAGGGAGATTCGCCTTGCTGGGAATACTGGGAAGAATTTCCTGAAAATTCAGAGCCACTTGACTGGTCGAGAAGTTAAATGGGGGCGTCCCAGACAGCAGGGAGTACTCTGGGTTTCCTCCGTCAGTGTTTAGACAGAGAAGTAGCTTGTGTCACCTACAGTGGAGCCTATGTTGTCTGTTCTCTTTATTTCAGGTTCAAGTGGGATGGGAGCTTATCATGGAAAACACAGTTTTGATACTTTTTCTCATCAACGTTCCTGTTTATTAAGAAATTTTAAGAGAGAATTTGTTAACAAACTCAGATACCCTCCCAGCAGCCAGTCAAAGGTGGACTGGGCCAAATTTGTCTTATTAAAACAGTTCAGCAAAGGAAAACTCTGTCTCCTGTTACTCGCTTTCCTGGGCGCTGTGGTGGCTGTGCTGGTCAAGGTAAGTCCCCAGAACTCACGAGGCGCCAGTCGTTCTGGTCCTGCCCGAATGGCTACCGGGTGCATTTTCTTTCTCTTGGGAGTTCATCTAATTTTATAAATCAACTCTCTTATATTAACTTCTGGAATCTAAAGGTCAGCGAAGTACAGCCTGCCTGATCGCTGCCTATTTTATAAGTAAAGTCTCGTGGGGGCACAGCCACACCCGGGCTCGGCTGTGGTTTCTGGCGGCTTTTGTGCCTCGGCGCAGACCTGCGTGGCTGCCACAGGGACTGTGTGGTCCACAAAGCCTCAATTATGACAGGAAAAATTTGCCGACGTCTGGGATAAAAGTTTAAAACACTGCAGAACTTGCTTGCAGAATTCTGCGCTTTCTCACCTTCAGATCCTTTTGCTCTTGGTGTTTCCATTTCATTCTTTAATATGCATGAAATGAGCATGCCATGGAATGGGGCGGAGAATTCTGTGGTGGACAGTAGTGGTGGTGAAGCAGCTTTTTAGTGAAGGAAGCTTGAACGTTCTTCCTCCATAGCTGACTACTATATAAAGTTTGTCTTGGATGATTAGTTATGATAGACATGGCCTGCTAAGAGGCCCCGTGACAGCTGGCTTTTCAAGGCAGCTTGTGTGTCCTAGGGGTAAAGGAAAAAATCCAAGATAATGAAGCTTTAGATGGAACTGGGGGAGGTGACTGTGTCCTTGGAGCTCTCTGCCAGCCAACTGAGGAAATACATTGAAAACACTGACAATATCTGTGAAGACAGGCTTGGAGGAGAGACAAGATTCAAGCATTTAATGGAAATAACTGTGTTTATAGCTGTATTTTGTTTAAAATGTGAAAGGGGGCTGGCTCATCTTACAGTATCACAGCTTCAGAAGAATTGGAGCTATCAATTACATTTGAAATCATTTGGGTTTTCTCAGAAATACCAAGCTGTGCTGAGGAGAAAGGCCCTGTTGATTTTTCTGGCAGTTCACAGACTGTGTTGTCCAATGAACAGCAGATTTCAAGCCCCAGCTTTGTTAAGAGTGAGGTAGGAACTCCTTGTTTTGTTTCTATGTACAGAGTTGGCCAAGTTGCGGTATGTTTTCTTTTAGTTGTTTGTTTTTCTATAGTTGGAGGCTTAGGGGCTCTTGTAAAAAGAATACTTAACGTATTTGTCTCCAGACATTTTTTTGAGCTTTGGCCCAGAGTATCAGAGTGTTAAAACTTATCCACAATTTTAAAAGGGTGAGGTTGGGTTGCTGGAATCTTCGAAAATGTGGAGAGGTAGTGGCCCAGCCGGATCCGGGTGAAGCATACGTCCTTTCTAGAAAAAGGACAGACACACATGTACCTCCTTCCTCTTCCCCACCTGTTCAGTTCTCCTGGAGGAAGCGCCAGCCAACCAGTTCTCCATTTAGACACTGAACTCAGTTAAGTTCCATAATTGGAGAATAATCTTCTAAAAATCTCCAAGTCATTTTTTGTTTTGTTTTGAGTTGTTTTGCTTTCAAAGGGAAGTTTGACTTTAGAATTCATCATAGCAAACTTAGGGAATCAAAGCATAGTGTACAGTTTGGGGACTCTGTGTTCTCGCTTCCACATCTGCCTGGGGCCTGAGGCGTGCTTGGGTCTCGTCATTATCTGCCTATCTTGCTCTTTCCCAAAAGGGTTTGGCAGACAAGCCTTTCTCTATTAGGGTCTAGAGAAACAGCACTGTATAGAAACGTTTAGCTGGGAAGAAGAACATGTAGCTTTGATTCTTGGCTCTGAGATGGATTTAATTATGACTTTGGGCAGGGCCTTTTCTGAGCTCGTCCTGGGGCCTCAGCCGCTCGTGTGTAGGATGAGGGAGCGGGCATCAGTGAGGCGCAGGTCACTTTCAGCTCTGCCTCTCAGGTCTGTTCGTCTGGGCTGGCGTGTCAGCTGTTCAGGTTGTTTGCACATTGGATTCAGTATGAGACTAGGTAGTCTTAGTTTTCTTTTCCTCTTTCCTGCTTCTCTGCTCTTCTCTCTGAGCTTTTATCTTCTTTTTATCAAACCACCTTTTATTTTAAGTAATTTGCTGGAGGAATCCTTATTTATTGTAATTGCAAACATTTTTTTGAACTTGCTTTTCTGCACTTAGTAGTTATTTTGTTATATGCTTGAGTTTGATTTTATTAATTAACTAGAATTAGAATGGAATTGGAACATTTTTAAAAGGGAAGTTGAAAGCAGTGATTATCACTCTAAAAGGAGCGTGTCAGAATCTCAGCGTGGGGAGGAGTTTCTCTCTGCATTTAAAAAAATACATATACACGTACACAAAAAGTTCCAAGAAAGCTTAATATGAGCTTCAGAAAGCATCGTCGGGGTTATGGGTTTAAAAAAGTTGAGAAATATAAAAGCTTAAAATAATCACCGTCATTAGGCCTTTGAAAATTAGGTCTGATGTTTGAACCCCGAGGGCGTGCAGCGCTTCCAGCCTCAGTAGGCATGGACTCAACTCAGTACGACTTGAGAATTTTAGCAACAAAATCGTTGATCAGTTTTTAGATTTCCTGGAGAACTTCAGCTTCCTGTTCTCAGTGCTAGGACAGTAAATGAGTGTTTTCAGTCTCTGCCTCTATTCTGACGTTGTCTCGTTGATATTGGACAGAATACCACCTCCGTCACCACCCGGATGTTATTGTTGTTTTTGGGAGGAGAGCATAATTATTTATCCTCAGCCCAAACCACGCTTAGACTTCTTAGCACGACATGGGCCTTTTAATACGGTGCATTTAGAGTCTCTTAAGACAGGAGGTGTTTGCGAGAGTCCTGATACTGAGTTCATATTCCAGGGCTGGTTGGGTGGGCTTGTAAACCAGCAGTGTAACCTAGGTCCCTTTCTCCTCTTTCCAGGCTGGATACTTCTGAAGAATGATCCTGTTCAACCTCCTAGTTGCCGCTACTGAATTATTCCTCTGTTAATAGTTAATGAACCAGTAATTTTAAAACCTACCAGAAATAGCAAGAAAATATGCAAATACACTGTAATCAAACCTAAAATTCATTGCCACTCACAATTAAAACTTGCCATTTAAGCCAAATCTCACCGTTCTCCAGTAGTGAGGATACTCAGAGAACCTATTTTAGATTGTGTTACCCAGATCTTAGAGCTCTGGGCTAGGGGAGCGGAATGCATTAGTCTAAACCTGAGCTCCTTGGGGAGGTCCAGGAATCTCGGAACCCGCTTAGTGACTTCTTCCCTCCAGCACCCACCTCCACGGCTGCCGCCAGCACTCTGCGAAGCTTTAAGAGCACTGCTCAGGGTTACAGCAGTCCAGAGAGGTGAGGCTGGATCTTCCCAGCTCCCCTTGAGGTTTGAGGCACTAGAACTGTGGGGGAGGCGTGGGGGGCGGTCCCTGACCCTCATCCGCTGGGACTTGAGAATCTGATCTCCAGGAGTTGGCCCTCCTGTCAGACTTGACACCTCAGCAGTGCTCTTCCTCCTTTCTCAGCCATTCTCCATCCTGTCTGTGTTTGGTTTGTGGCAGTCTCTTGTCCCTATCCACAAATGCTTTTTGTGGTTACTCTCACTCAAAGCATCTTATAAATCCTAGGGCTTCCTGAACGATAGTTGCCAGTTTCATGCAAGTATCATCTGTCATTCTTCCGGTGTAGGAGTTGTAGAATTCTGCATCTTATGAAATCTAACTGGCATTTTGTAAATGCTGTAATGAAAGTACTTATACAATACTTATCCTCTCCCAGGACCCTAAAGTTGCAAGTTAGTCGATCTCCAAAGACAAATCTTTCATGTTCTTATTTCTGTAGTACAATGCAAGTAAATTTCACTTTTTTAAACTTCAGAGAGATCCCTTTCTGAATAAATTCAGCCCACAGAACTTAACACAGGGACATCATTTCCTGTCACAGACAAGAGGCCTTGGATATTCAGGACTTGGGAGCCTGAGAGCTCAGGGGGCCAATGGTGGGACATCTGGAGAAGGACTCTAAGCCACAGCAGGTGACCCCTCAGAAGGGGACCGAGGACGTAAGAAGAGGATCTCCTGAGCGTGCCCAGGACGCTGCGTACTTCGCCAAGTGGGAAGTCCTAAGACGTGGAGTGCAGCCTCCCTGCCGGACGGGGCGCACCCCCACCTTCCGCGCCCCTGGCTTGAAAACACTCGCCCACTCGGGGGGAATGGGATTCACTTTATAGGACATTTAATCAACTTTGTTGAATGAATTTGTTCCATTAATGCTGTCTGAAGTATGTTATGTCTATGTGATTGCACAGGATGTGGTGTCAGGAATTAATCACTAGGCTAATTTAGGAAAAAGCTGCTTAAATTGTGGCTCTCACTCTCAGAATAATCAATCATAAAATATCTTAGACAAAATGTCAATGTGGGATTTTCATTTAGTATAATAAGTTGTACATTATAATTGCTAATTAAACTAAACTGGCTTGTCTACTAGTATATACTGCTTCAAAATAAATACATTATATTTGATAAAATTGGTGTGAATTTTAATATTCTTAGTGTGGAATCTCAGATATGCCCTATTGGAGACAATGTTTTGCTCATAAGTTTTCTCCAACTATAAATCCATTTTTCGCCCTTATCCAAGGTGGCATTTGTCAACTTTACGTCATGCTTTCTCGTTTTAAATTCTTAGCCAAGGGGCTGGCCCTGTGGCCGAGTGGTTAAGTTCATGCACTTGGCTTCCGCGGCCCAGGAGTTCGCCAGTTCGGATCCTGGGCGCAGACATGGCACCGCTCATCAGGCCACGCTGAGGTGGCATCCCACATGCCACAACTAGAAGGACCCACAACTAGAGTATGCAATTATGTGCTGGGGCTTTGGGGAGAAGAAGGAACAGAAGATTGGCAACAGATACGAGCTCAGGTGCGAATCTTCAAAACAAAACAACACACACAGACTGTACATTGTTAAGCAAAAACTTCTTAGCCAAGATGATTTTCTTCAAGCTTTACTTTGCTGTCTTTTGTGGGTTTTTGTTTTTTTTTAAGTACCTATCTGGTAAATAGGTTTATTCTAACTACATCTTCCTATCCCCATTTGCTGATCTAAAACAGGTGTTTCTGTAAGCATATTCATAGAACACTAAGAAGATTTTACACAAGAATTGGTCCCACTACCAATCGTGTCTACCAGGGATTTGTAAAGCACACCAGCATATTCAAGGATCCAAGGCATAGAGGACCTTTGAAGCAAGTGTGTTTCCCAAGGCCACTTACCATGGAGCCTTTTTCCTCAATACCTCTTAACCTTAGACACACTTGCGGAAATGGTGACATTACTGTTCTATGCTCTGTACCTAGTTTTGTTTGGGTGCTAGAAGCTCACTAAGGTATTTGTGTCACAGACCAGGTTATAGGCTTCTCCCTTCCTGTAAATGGGAAGCCTGGAATGTCACTGTGGACGCTGAAAACAGCATGGAACTGAATTCCAATAGCATGCAAAACAGGTTTACATTCTGTGCATTATTCTTTCCTATTGGCCTTGATCAATACATCCATTTTGTCTGTCAATGTATTTATAGCTACTGGTGTTGAAAGGACTGTGGCAATGGGAGGCAGACTGCCCTCCACTTTTTTTTTGGTGAGGAGGATTGGCCCTGAGCTAGCATCTGTGCCAGTCTTCCTCTACTTTCCATGTGGGACGCTGCCACAGCATGGCTTGACAAGTGGTGCTAGGTCTGCGCCCGGGATCCGAACCTATGAACCCCGGGCCACCGAAGCAGAGCGTGCAAAGTTAACCACTACACTACTGAGCCGGTCCCCGCCCTCCACTTTTGATGGTGGTGTGTGGCCTGATTCAGCATGGAGCCTGAAAATGCTCACTCACCAGTCCCAGGCCTCAAAGCAAAGCATGCTCACATTTGGATCAGCATCGAATTTGTGAGGCTGTGTGGCCAACTGATCTGGGTTTTGCTGCCCTTCTTTATAGCATATCACTCCTTTAAGAACAAGTGTTTCTCAAGGTCTGTGTCAAGTGGAAATGCCGATGGGTGGGAGGGGAGGTGAAGAAGGGTCTGTGGACAGCTACCACTCCCTCGTCCAGGTTTCACAGCACCTGTATCTGCAGGGGCACGTGGGGCCGGGAGCAGATGGGGGTCGCAGCGAACGGGACTGCCCAGACAGGGCCTGCCAGGCCCCTTTGCAGAACTTCCCAGAGGCTTTGTGAACAGACCTCGGCAGCAGACTCTGCTTAGGAAGTATGTAATTTTTAATGTAACAGTGGTTTTGCAGTTTTATTTTGGTTGGAAATCTCCAGTGTAAAGCTGTTGACAGTATTGAATAATAGTAGCCATTCCAGGATTCTCACTCAGTCAGCGGATGTCTTCTCGGGGGAGCAGTCCAGGTCACAGGTGAGAGAGCGGATTTGCCCACGGCAGAATTGTCCGTCTGCACGATTCAGACCCCTCATGTCACATGAGGTGCTGGCTGAAGGTGTGGAGGAGCGGTCCAAGGCGCCCACCTGCCCTGGATCCCGTCGCTGCTTTTGTAGGGTGGGCCCGTGTGTGGGTGGTGGGACAGCCACTCCTGGCTTCCCTTCTGTCTCCAAGCTGCTTTGCTAGTGCCTGGTGGCCAGGACCCTGATGACGAGCCCCACGGCCAGCGTGGCTGACGCTGCCCCCAGAGCAGCCCCACGGCGAAGGGCCAGCTGTTTCACTGACAGTCTGCTGGCAGGAGCTGTAAGGGCATGAGCTACTTCTGGAGTCCTGAAGAGGTCTAAATGGCACCCAGGCCTTGAGTACGTTGTCAGAGTAACGCCAGGGGAGCCACTCCTAGCCACTGCAGAGGCAAACAGGAGCAAACTCAGCAGGACTGGGGGCTGAGTGGGAAGAGCTGTGGCCGTGGAATCAGGAGGCCCAGCTGCATTCGTTACGCTGCGTGCCTGGTTAATTGACCTCTGCACCTTACAGCGGAAAATGCCTGTACAATCGAAACAAGCCTGCCTGCTCTACTCAACAGCAGGACCGGCGGAGGGAACTCTGTGGGAGAGCATCTTAGACTGGGAATTTGATGTATAGATAAAGGTCCTCCTAAGGTCAGGTGAGGCATGTTCCTGTCTGAGCCTGTCCTTGAGGTGGCATATGACATCAGACGTAACTCAGTAGGACTTCAGAGCACATGTTAAATGCTTAGTCAACCGTGCCTGGCCTTCCCTCGTGACTGTTTTAGTCGCCTGGCTCGCTGCAGCACCGGTCAGGCGTAGCCCAGGATGCGGCGAGGCCACTGAGAGAACTAGGGGCCTGGTGTGCTGTACAGGTGGGCCTGGCGCTCAGCACCGAGCCGGGGCAGGAGGCTCCTGAGCTGGGGCCATGACTCATCATATAAACGCTGGGCTGCTGTCTGTCTCGTGGGGTGCACAGAGGTAGACCGGGGAAGTAACCCCACCCCAGTTAGTCAGGCCAGGCTGACCCGCCTGGGCTGACAGCTGAGGGCCAGACCTCAACTCAGCCTTGCTTCCTCATTCGAGAATGGACACGGCTCACGGCCTCACGAGGCTAAGGGTGTGAAGTACTTTGTGCAGGCCTGTTACATAGTAGATATTGGTGGTGTGTTGCCGGCACGTAGGACATTTTCATGCTGAGAGGAAGAAAGGCAGCTGGGGCTCGCATGGTTCCCAACTGCTTAGGCACACCGGCAGCCAGGAGCCACGTGCCGCTGGCATCTGTGTGTGCCCAGCAGCAGCACCCTGACGGCGTTACCTGAAGAGACCGCAGCGTCCTCAGGCCCGGGGCAGGGGGCCACGCGTGCAGTGTCCACCGTGCTCTCAGCGCTCTGCTGCTGCAGCCCGGCGTGTTTCTGAGCCTAAAGGAGAAAGCTCGCCAGGTCAGCCTGCAGCCCTCTCGTTCCCCACTGGCTCCATCTCCGCCCTGCCTTGAAAACGCGGCACGCCAAAGCAGAACGTATTCTTAGTTTTAGAGGAGCTTTAAAGTGGTGCTGTTTTAAATCTATATTTATCCATTTTAGATGCCAGGAGGACTTGATCCACACACAAAGACAAAACCATACCCTGCTGGGATTCAGGTCTTTGACAGGACGTTCCCCTCTGCGTTCTGCCTTCAGACTAAGCTGTGCCTTTACTGTGTCTGAAAAGCAGATGCTGGCCTGCCCTGTTTAAAGGCTTCATCCAAGAGGATGGTGGCCAGAGTGATGCTGTTCTCTCTGCCAGGGTCACAGTGCGCTCTCGGGGGCTCGTCTGGGTTCAGGCTGGTTTGACTGAGCTCCTTGCTTTTGTGTGGTTTGCAGCAGTGGGGCTGGCTCAGGAAGGTCTGGATGTACGTTTCTCTGCTGCTTATACCGGCACTGTCTGGGGCCCAAGGACAATGACAGGAGTAGCTGTTGAGGCCGAGGTGGCCCCTCGGTGACTGTGCATGCGCAGCTTATACCACAGCTCCCTGCTGCTGGGGCCCGCCGTCTCTGGGCCTTTCTGCGGAGCGGTCGCTCCGGGCCAGGGGCTGCTGGCTCACCTCCTCTGCAGCCAGCTTCCAGTTCATGCGGGCAGTGTAGACAATGAAAGCAGCAGCTGCCAGGAGGACACAGGCCAGCATGCCCAGCCAGAGGCCTGAAGGAGACAAGTGACACTGGGGAGAGTGTCCCGTGACCACCCAGGCCTCTCCCGACTTTTCCTCACACACATACCCATGATTCTCATTCCGACCACAAAGGTCAGAACGATGCCCAGCGGGAGGCCGACGATGTAATTCGTGATCGCATTCACGACGGCTCCGAAGGCCTGCTTGCCGCTTCCTCTCAGGATTCCGCCATAGACACACTGGGAGGGGAGGCAGGGGGTGAGCGGTCAGTAAGGAGGAGGCTGAGGGCGGGTCTCGTGCCGCAGCCACTTCTCCCGGCAGCGCCCCCTGCAGGGCCTCACTCAACCCCACACCCCGAGGAGGAGTGTTCTTATGCCCCTTCCTTCCAGGAAGAGACCCCGTCAGAGAGGTCAGCTCACTTGCCCAGTGTCACACAAGAGTAGCTATGCTTTGAACACAACTCCAGAGGCCCATCTTTACCTCCTCACCGTTATTGCCTCACTAGAAAGTAAAGGTAAAACTGGTGACCAAAAACCAGCCAATCTGGGAAATTGGACTAACTTCGCACGGAGATGTCATGTGCTGGTTTCCTACTGCTGCTGTGGCAGATTACTGCAAACTTAGTGGCTTAAAACAAGACGTGTTTATTATTTTACACTTCTGGAGATTAGAAGTCCAAAATGGATTTCAATGAGCTAAAGTCAGGTCTGGGTCCTTTTGGAGGCACCAGGGGAGAATCTGTTTCCTTGCCTTTTCCAGCCTCTGGAGGCTGCCTGCATTCCTTGGCTCGTGGCCCCCATGGAGCAGTGGGATCACTCCAACCTCTGCTTCTGTCTCCACATCTTCTCTGACTCCTTGCCTCTCTCTCACTTATCAGGACCCTTGTGATTACATTCTGATTCTAAAATACATATGGAAATGCAAACAATCTAGAAGAGCCAAGGC